GGAGACCATGCATGCAAACAGGAGCCCCTGATTACTTATGCTAATACAGTGATGACAGAGAGGCAGGAGGCAGAGGAGGAAAGGAGCGAGGAGCATGGTGGTGAGGCTACGTTTGGTGTATCACTCAGGGTGCGCTCTAATTAAAAACAGAATTAATCTTTTGGACGTTCAGGCTTGAGAAGAGGCAGACCTCTCTCGCTGTGTGTCCCTAGTGAGGAGCAGGAGCCACTGAGAGGTAATTACTGTTATCTGCTGGCTGTTATATTAACATGTGTCCTCAAAGAATGGAGAAGCTTAAGTTGGCCCCTGCTCTGACTGATGCCACGCCTGATAGACCAGCAGAGAAAACGATTACAAAATGGAAAACGGGGGCCTATTCCTCTCCTCTTGATCCTCCCAAAAAATGCTGCTTCATTTTTACCCTGCACAGCTCCTACTTTTTACATTTCCTCCAGGGTGTGATATTTCCTCAGATATATGGGGAGAGTGAGAAGGATGAACTGAGATTGGAGTGGAAGAAATGAGAAAGAGATAGAGGAGGGGAGATAGGGCACAGAAACAGACGGGAGGAGAGGAGGAGGTGCAGAGCAGAAAGCCGAGATAGATCAACAAAAAGGCTTTGCTGCTGTAGTGGTGAGCAGAAGGAAAAGCCCGGAGAAAGCACACATGCCAGCAGCCCGTAATTACACGCCAATCATCTGCCCACAGGCCAGTGTAGGGATTAACTAAGCGGAGAAATGGTGGGAGAAATTCAATTAAAAAACGAATTAATAAGCAGGCAGTTTTTCCTCCGGCCGCAGGGGCCAGCCAGGGGGCGGGATCAGGCCATCATGTTCGGGGCAGTCATTGGGAGAGAGAAGGTGGTAAGGACGTGATTGGTAGTGTTAAAACTGCGGGACCAGGAGAGGGGGAGCAGTTTTTGCGGTGTTACTATAGTGCACTCATGGTTTCTATCCATGTAATGAAAGTTACAAAGAGGGTATAGTCTTTGAATGTTTAAATCATACTCTATGGAAACTTCATTCGATTGCATTCTGTGTTCAAGTCTTTTTGCTGACAGACTGAAACAGAAGCAACACAGTGAATGGGAGCATCAAACTAAGTCCATGTTTAGGGTTGTGAAACATTGACCTTCGCTTTGTATATGGCAATCCAGCTGCCTCACATTTGTGAGTTAGGGTATTTGAACCCTGCTGCCCTTAATTAGAGGGTTTTTTAATACAAAAATACTACCCACCAAGTTCTTAAATCTAAAATGTTCAGCTAAAATTAAATATAGGGTTCTAAAATTAAATCAATCAGGGTTTAGAAAAATGCTATTAAAACACAGATTTATGGCCATTGGACTCAAGTTATCTTAGTGATCAGTCTCAGTGCATTAGGCATGATGGACTGCGCTCTGATTTAATTATCTATAAAGGTGTGCCACAGGGTTCTGTACTAGGCCCCATTTTGTTTACTATTTATGTTGATAATCTGGGGTGAAATGTTGCAAAATGTATCTGTCCCCAAAGCTTTTACAGAATTCGATAAAAGTGTTTTTTTGGGTTTTCTGCATCTTCAGTCTTGAGGTTATTACTGTATGACTGAAACTCAATGAGCTGGTGTCTTTATATGTTTTTAATCTAAAATGAGTTTGAAGAACAGCTTTTACAATGTCAATGGTTTTAGGTAACCATGTTGCACAAATGACTGAAGTCATTTCTCTGATTACTGTTCATTTAATTCTTATAGACTGCACTGTGGTTCTGTGTCTGCAGCCTTGTGTCTTGACCAGGTTTCCCTTAAGAAAGAGATTTTTAATCTCAACTGGACTAATCTGGTTAGATAAAGATTAAAAATTAAAAAGCAACGACATCTGAATGAAAAAGTTGACTTGTATGGCTGTCAGTGTAGACTCAAGAGGTTTTACTCAGACTTATTGGCAACTCCTCTGTCCAATAAAAGTCTTTCTCTTTAACCATCAGTCAGGTATCCATGCTTGCCAGCTATAAACTGATGTGACACAACAGACACACATCAGCTGCTGTCACTGGTCCATTAGTACATAATTTGCAGATAACCATCAACACTGACCAAAACTGGTGTTACACCAATACACTGGAGTGTCCTTACTGCTCACAGGAATCAGTGATTAAGCCATAGTGCCTCAAAACTTCAACTGGTATCACAATAGTGATCACTGAAGCTGCTCACTAATTGAAATTAAATCACATTGATAATAATTGAAGGGGCTCTCTGGATTTTCAGGAAAAACAATGTCATGATGAGATACTCTGTGATGAAAGCATATGCCCTCTCTCCAGATTGATTTGTTTTACTGGTAAAGACACCCTCAGCCTCTGGTTTCTGGCAGTCCCCTGTGTTGAGTGTTCATTCTTGGTTAACAGATTCATTATGGAGAGCGTCATCTCAGCGACAGGTCAACAGACTGGCCCTGGAAAAGCATTATTAACCAGGTAATTGGCATGTAATTAGGCCATTGTTTGTTGGCTCCTCACTAGTGTGCATTATTGCCTGTCCACTAACATGATTTATACCTCCATAATTCATATACTGCCACTCTAATTACATCCTCTCAGCCCCCATTACTGCAGCTCTGTAATGCTGATGCCTCGGTGACGCATACAGGGAATTTCTGAGAGGGCAATTTTCTGGAAACAAAAGAAAAAGCCTTAAAAGCATTAACTGATATTTCTCCTCTGAATCTGTTTATGTAAAATGCATAGAGCTGTCACTGGGCTTCTCCTGAGGTAAATGGAAACTGTTGTCAAACTCTCAAACCCTGAAGTGCCTAAAAGCAGAGATTCGCAGTGACAGGTTTGATGCATGTTTAAACGAAAACACATCACACTGTATCAGAAAATCCTTCTTCCTTTACATCAGTCTAAAATAGCTCTTTGATAAAGTTGTAGAACAATCTGACTTTATAGTAAAAGGACAGCAGCTGGAAATGTGCCATGAATATTCTGCTCACTTGCTCATGACTCACTGACCTGGAAGTAGAGAAAAATCAAAATATATAATGTAAATAACCAGGACAGGAGCTCATAATGTAGGAAAACTGCACGTCTCAAGCTGTAATACGTGCACATTTACGAATCCTATAGACACAGGGACTCCATGTAAAGTAAATGTATTAAAAAAAAAGAAAATCCTGGAAACCCTATATAAAATGAAGACTGATTTAAAGACAACATATCAGATCTTGAAACCGGGAGAAAATATTGTTTGATGGAAAAATTAGTGCTCATTTTTGAAGTTGTTGCAAGCAAGACGTTTCAAAAGAGTTAAGACAGGAGCGACAAAACATGGGACAGATGTGTGACGCTTCATCCTTGTTCAACCCATTTTTTTCAAAAAGGGAGGTTAAAGAAAAATAAAGTTGTGTTTTTAGCTCCATATAAATGCTCTCTTTTCTATAATCGTCTGCCATTTTAATACGCTGATTTAACAATCAAAATTTTCAATTTTTCATTGTCCAGACCCTTAAACTAAAAACCAAAGCTCCCTAAATTTCTGGGATTGGGGCAAATCTATGAACCCAGTTTAAATAATAGATCTTCAAGGTGCCATTTCATAGTAATTGAAACTGTCCTTTTATACATTGAATAGGTGCATAAATTATACAATTCACTGTATGAATGCATGGCAGGCGACATATATAAAGTGTTCTTTGCAGAGGAAGGAAGTTGGCACAGAGCTGCTGAAAGTTATTAAAGTTAAATTATTTAGCACTTAACACAGGTTTTATATATAACTCACTATAGGTGTACAATGGCAGTGATAAGCTCTGAATTCTTCCTCTTAAGCTCAGAGGAGACAGGCCTCAGAGTGAAAGTCCTGTAATAAGTACATAGGAGCCTCTTAATAAGACTGATGAATGAGCTGCTATGTTTTGCTTCAGCTCTGAGTGAGACAAGTCTGTGTTTGTCAGGAAAGTGTCTAAGTGTGACACGATGTCCACCCACCAGAGATGATTCCACTTGCAGCTCCACTTTGAGGCTCACACTCGGATCACATTTATGTGGCATACAAATGAGCCTTAAACTGGGTGTCCACCTCAGAAGATAGGGTGTGCAGAGCCGAGCCGCTGTGTTACCTAAGCTCAGGGTTCAGACTGTGGGCAGTGCTGCATTATCTGGAAGCATTAACCTAAAGGACTGTGCAAAGGACTGGGTTTTTATTCTCAGTCTAAATTTAGCTTTCCCTGTACACACCTTTTCATACCTGTTCCTTATTTGCTTGCGATCATGTCAGGAGTATTGTCTCTATACAAATATTTTTATTTTCAGCAAAAGAAAAAGAAAGCCTTTTCTCAAATTATCCAGCTATGTGCTAAAGAAAAAAACATCACAAGTAGGATGTGAGCAGATCACCAGTTTGGCCTCAAAACAATAAGGCATATGTACTTTGCAGAGGATTCCTTATACAAACTTTATTAAATAATAAAAATAATACACTATTTTTTAAAATGTGTGATAAAAAGAAAAGACTAATGTGAGTAATGACTCATTTAAGACATGCATGAATGTTGAATTGATGGAAAAATGAAGCATGTACTTTTTGAATATCAGTCTTCAGTGGGAGAAACATGCTGCGTGTGGTGTGTACAGGATCGCCACAGTAAATGCAACAGCAAGAATCACTACAAATGAAATAAAGTGATAGAAAAACAAAAATGCATCAACAGCTCCTGCACCATAAATACAAAATCAATGTAAAGCAAAAAAACACCTGCAAACAATAAATGCAGCAAGTCAAGACTCTTGACTCTTAGAGGAACATAGTCAGGCACCTTACTGTCTACTACTGACTGAAGAAGAAGAAGAAGAAGAAGAAGAAGAAGAAGAAGAAGAAGAAGAAGAAGAAGAAGAAGAAGAAGAAGAAGAAGAAGAAGAAGAAGAAGAAGAAGAAGAAGCTTTATTGTTATTGCACTTCACAATACAACGAAACCTTGTTTAGCAGTGCTCCTTTTGTAGCAGCTACTGTCATCAAATGTTTTTAAAAAATAGTTATGTAAAAATATAAAATGTATAAAAAATATACTCAAAGTATTGAGACATATGTGTGCAAAGAAATATTTGTCATAAATATAACAATAAATATGTACAGTAAAAAAACAGTAAGTATGTATTGAACATGTGGTGCAGGTAGCAGTTATTGTAATTGTCCAAATTATTGCAGAGTGGGATAATTATGGGCTTTGCAGCAGTCTTTTCACAGCCATAGAGAAAAAAAAGTTGCGTTTGAGTCTGTTTGTGCTGACTCATATGGCTCTTAGACTGCCTAAGGGGAAGCTGGTGAACAGAGAGTGTCCTGGGTGGGTGGGATCATTCTGGATCTCTGTGGCATGTTGGAGAAGACAGTTCGAGTAGATCTCTTCCAGGTGTGGGATCGTGGAGTCCATGATCCACTGAGCCGACTGGATGACCCACTGCACCGGTTTCTTTTCTGCTGTAGTGCAGCTGGCGCAGCAGGGTTGGAGGGAGATCTTGCTCAGCTTTCTCAGGAAGAAGAGACGCTGCTGGGATTTGTTGATGATGTTGGTGGTGTTCACAGTCCAGCCCAAGTCCTCTGAGAGAAAGATGAGGACAAATCTCTGAAATTATGAGTTAGAATACCATCAAATACCATCCATCTAGGTGTATCTGAAGACCATGCCCTCATGTTGACTGTAGTAAAACAAGACTTTACAAAGATATGAGATAAAGTTTCTGATGCCAGAGTAGCCCAACCACAGCTAAGTGTAGCTTTGGCCAGTTATGGGTCTGCGTTACTCACCACTATCACCCACCTGGTGTAAGGCTTTGGGTACTGGAGTGTGTTTACTTTCCCAACTACAGGAGCTACAGAGCTGTAAAAGATTATCACACATCCTGTATATATAAGGTCAACTGGGAGACAAGCAGATAGTAACAAGCTGAAAGTAGACATGTCGCCACCTGCTGTAGTGGAGGCAAACATGCTTCTGTCAATAATTCAAGTCTTTCCCAGTGCATATAAGCTAGGACAAGGACAATAGTCCTGCTAAACCATCCAGTCCAGATATAATAGAAGCTCGACTTAACTGAGAAAACCTAAATGTTGGCATTTTTGAGCCAAATTTGATTCTTGGGCTGTAAACAGTTCTGATTAAGAGATGATGAAACTGTTGCAACATAGATTAGTTTGAGGGTCTAAAGTTTGGTCTTTGACTCACCTCTGATCATACCTCTTAATTTAATAAAACCACTCTAAAGATCTTACTCATTTAAGCTGTCTTCAAAGATTCTGACACTCCGAGGAAGTTGCACGCTTTTAATGGATTGTTAAACAGGTTCTGAATGAAGATTTGATGCCTTTAATCTGTGTCTCTGTGTTTGTATTGTCACAATTTTAATGTCATTTAAAAATATTTGTAAGGGGGATGCAAAGCTTACTGTATTACAAGTACAGAAGTCACCTGATTCTGAAATAAATGAAGCCACAGCATGCTGGTAATCAGGCAGGCATTTTCCAAACACCTCTGCCAGCTTTGACAGCCTGGGTCAATGCAGCCCAACACAGGCAAGCCAAGAATGAGACAGCTAACTGTAGCACAGGCCAAGCAGACCACTCAAATCTGTCTGAAAGCTCCTCAGCAGAGACGCCTCCTCTCTGCTCCCCAGGGACTCGACTGTCTGGGCAAATGAACGGTGCTGTGAGCGCTGTCCTGCAGCCAAACTCCTCTCAGAGAGAAGCCTGAGCAGCAGAGACAAAGAGGCTCCTCTGTGGACAGAGGAAACTCATCATTAGCTTGTATTTGAACATTCATTTTCTGCAGGTGTTGCCTCTGTGTCCTCTCACAGTCCCTGATGAGAGCGATTTACTGTAAAGTGTAAGTCATTTTTCACCACAGCTCTGAATTACCCAGAAGTAACAGGGCAGGTTATCCTAATACTTTGTTCAAGGGATTGTGAAAAAAGGAATTAAAGCAGAGGGAAGCTAAAGGAAATGAAACTCCACAGAGCAGAAAGTCTTTATGTTAGTGCAAACTTTAAATGGAGAAAAACTCCCCACTTGTTGTAATATTGCATCTTGCCAGACTACAAAGGCACGTGAACCACAGAGGCACATACTAGTCTGAGTTTAGACACCCTGGTCTCTGTTTTCTTCTCCTCCATAAAACTCTCTCAGCTCCAGCAGTCCTCTCTGCTGCCCCTAGCTATGAACCTTGACTTTCAGCATCTTGACAGGGTTAATGGGGGACTGATCTGATCTCATACGAGAGCATCGCACTCTTGTATTCATCAAACAACCCCTTCATGCTGGAGAGACAATCTTTCTCAGACCCCTTTATCAGTGCATGATGTCCCACAACGAAGGATGGAGATCAAGACCAGGCGCCATTAAAACCTTATCAGTTCTGCTGCTGCTGAGTCAAATGGATTCAATGAAGTAACATTATACTTGGAGTGTAGTCGTGTTAATTAAATGAGTGCACACACAATAATAGACTGTCTGATAAAGTTTATAGGGGGAAAAAAAATCAAAATTAATATCAACTTGAGGTCACTTGGGCTTTGGTCTTACTAAGTTAAACTGAAGTCTAGCTGCAGAACCTGTTTCCCCAGATCAGCGATCAGCTCTTTTGGTCCGTGGCTAAGCCAAGACACTGAATTTGTTGGTTTTTGTTTATTATTATTTTCATAACTAGTCTGTCAACATGTGCAACCTTGAAACCAAATTACTGTGTTCAAATATTTATCAGCTTGAATGTGGATCAAATCCTAAAAGGTGCAAAGATGACCCCGCGTTAAAGCTTAACTCACATTCAAACCCACTGATAAAGAAAACTGAAAACCTCCCAAAACCTGACAGAGTTTTGCTTGAAGACTTTTGTCTGACAATCATAAGGCTAAGAAGAAATGCATAAACCAACAGGTTCTCTCCTGTCTTTTTTTTAATCAATGTATTTGTGGGAGCAGATTTTCTCACCCATAAATTTGAAGTCATTTCCGCCTAACAGATGAGAGCCTGCAGTCTTATATGAGGATCACAGTTTCAACTTTGAGCCCTGACATGAAGAAAACCTGCTGAGACATTCAGAAGCAGAAGTTGCATTATACAGGTGAGGAGGCTGTCCTTAAACAGATAAAACTTTGCACTCTTTTTCTTTTATTAATGTGATTCTCTTGATTGAGTAAGAATTTATGCTTAACCCTGGTGGCTGATTGCTTTTGAGAACAAAGAAGAGATTTGCTTTTTTTCCTCTGGATAAATCATTACCAAAGCGGTCAAAATTTAATATTTCCAGCGCAGAGGATGACTAAAAGTCCAAGACTGCTCTACTTTTTTGTTTAATTTATTCTGAAAGTAAGGTCCATTTGATTTTAGTCATGATTTGCAGCACTTAAAGTATGCCTAATTTTACTGTTTTTCTTTGATTCAATGTCAAACAAGGCTTCATTTTCCAGCAGCATTTCCTTTATTTTCTGCACAAAAGAGAAATGATGGTTAATCTGCAGTTCTCAGTGCCACTCTTAAGTGGGACTCGTGGATGTTTTCTCCACAAATGCTCTCTTCTCTAATTGTGAAAACAGCACAACCAAGAAAAAAGTCAAAACAAGTTTTCTTCATTGTAGCTCTGATTCCAAACACGCAACAAAATGTAATGTGTTAAAGTAATGGGAATCCAGGGTTAAAGTTATCACAGAAGTGCTGGAGTGTGGTCAATAATCTAACATGTCAAGGCCATAGACTGGGTGAAGCAACTGCAAGAACAGCACCCTCTAGTGACGGGCTGCAGTATAGGTCATAAATCCCACCTCTTCCAGCAATCCCTATGGAGCTGTGGAGAAACTTTAGAAATTTATTACACAGAATATATATTTTTTTCATCCGTGGTTGCGATGTTGACGTGTAGTGATTGTAAGACTGGTTTGTGCTCAAGTCCTCTTTTTTCTGTGCAGCTCCATTTTTAAAAGTTATGAGGGGGTTCATGTTTTCTATGATTGACACTTGATACAGCCTATGGGCGTTCGAAGATTGCGTAACCCACCCGGGGGATACGCTGTTTGAGCCGAGCATCATCACAGCAACCCTCTTGTTGAATGCGTACACCACTACTGCGCAATGTTGGTTTCAGGAAGTGGAGAAAAAACTCGGAAATACCGAGAGCTTTTTGACTTCAAATCCGTATACTGGCGGCAGGTGGAACCAAGTTGTCCATAGTATATAAAGTCTATACAGTATATAAAGGTGGTCACAACCATCTCTGTAATGTAGTGGTGAATATTGTGTGGCCTCAAGTGCCATTCACAGTGCTATTTAACAGCAGGAGCTGCCTCTGTCACTGGATCATTCACAAATCCAGAGTGAGGTAATCACAACGTTTTCCTTCTTGAATCTCATATTTCTCATTTATAAAGTGAGTACTGCACTGAAGGTAGCAGCTACAAAATGATTAGGAAACATTTGCTTGTTTCCAAAGGGGTTAGATCATAACAACAGCTTCTCATCCTCCTCTCAGAGTGGCCATCACTGGCTGTGTTGCCAATCGCTAATCAAAAAGTCATGATTGACACGTTTGTCTTACAGGTTGTATTATCTTTGTTCTTGACAGCCATTCAATAATAGGTTTTTCTTATTGTAGACTGTTATTGCTCAAGACCTCAGTTTTCATTTACTGCCAGTTAAATCAGACTGAGTCAGTATGATTGCATGCACAGATAAGAATTGAATTATTGACAGAAGTATCACAACAGCCAGTAACACGTGTTAGACTGATGGGATGGCACTTTTACAGCTATGTGCTGTCTGGTTGCAAAGTTTCGTCTTGTATCCTTTCTTCATCCGTCAAGGTTTTGTTTACAACCTGATTCCTAGCAATGAATCCATGATCTTTAACCACCGGCTCAGAGCCCTGTGTGGAGCATGTGCAGAACTTTAGGCCAGTTTCACTTTAATTGAGCTGTATTCATGACCATGTTATCCAAGCAAAGGTCAAAGGTTACTTTATTTGTACCCTCAGGTAAATTTTGTTTACAGTGAATCACATGTATGACAGTAGATGAACAAACAGCACAGTACATGCAACAGGACAAACATATACAGTGACAACAGTGCTCGGGGGTAAGAGATTAAAATGAATCAAATAAGACGAAATAAAACTCAGTAAAACCAAATAAAAAACCAACAGCTCTCAAGGTTTCTTCCCCGTGTTAATGTGCCCAATAGCTGATGGGATGAAACTATTTTTGTACCGTTTGGTTTTACAGGCTGGTACCTTGAGCCTCCTGCCTGATGGGAGCAGCTGAATCTCAGCATTCAGGGGGTGGGAGCCACCATTTAAGATGGAGCCAGCCATCATCTCTAGCCGTTTACTATAGAGGGATGGTGGGTAGAGCTGGGCCTCTCCAATCTGCCTGCTCGCCCATTTCACTATTTGGTTTAGGCAGTTTTTGTATGTCAGACTGACAATAAGAAGTTTGATGAGGTGTGAGCTCAGTTGCACTAATTCGAGTTTCCTGCATCTCATAGTAAGACAGCTCTGGCCACTACATTGTGCAATTCCTTCATGAATTTATCTAAATGCTTTTGTCACTCACATGGCAGAAAGACATAGGAAAACACGTTTTACAAATCTGTAAATGGAGACGACTCTATCTTTGCCTGTCTTTGGAGTTTGTGCTTTTTGGACAAGGACAGCCAGGAGACAGACACATGGAAACACGTTGTAGTGACTTCAAACAAAGGCTTGAATCCAGCATCCTTTTTAGCAGAGGCAGTCAAACAGTTTTAGGATTAACACAGAGAAGTTGTTGTTCACTTTGGCGTGGTTGTTGCCTTAAACCGAAATGTTTTTCCCTCACTTTGCTGAACAAAACTTGTCTGATTCTAAAGGGGCCAGTTTGTGCTGCAC